CAATTGAAGATATGAATGAATTTAAGATTGAATTTCTGAATGTCAAGTTTATCGTTTTGTCATCCAATCCATTCATTTATTCATCTCTTTTTGTGCGTGTGCAAAAATTTCAATTAATTTTTTCAATCAAATTAATCAATTTTGATTTGCTTGAAACTGCTTGAATTCAGGTCAACCTTACCTGTTGACGAAAACGAAAGTCAGATTCATTTCACTGATGATGATTATGATTGAAAATACGGAAATATCTTTACCGAGTCAAGTGAAAAAAATTCCCTTGGTTATGAAGAAACCGAAAAATTAATTTCTTTTGTGTATTTTGGATAGGATCGGTATATATACGCATGGTTAAATATTTGTTCAAAACAAAAAAATGATGTTTCCAAACGAAACGAAATGGTTTCATCATCATCATCATTGTCGTTTTCGTTATTAAAAAAAATTGCATATCGTTTACAAACATCAAGCATATTTACTCATTTTCTGACCAAAACAATTCCCGTTTAGCCATATTACCGACTGAATGATCGACTGGCCAGTCAGTCAGCCAACCAACCAACCAACCAAAACAGATCGACCGACCATTTCAATTTCAATTCATCAAAAAAAACTGACAACCATCATATGTGGATAATGTTCATCATCCAGATCAGCATTTTGAATTTCGAAAGATTTTTCAATTTTAAATTTTTTTTTCGAAGAAATTCAACATGATAATCATCATCATCTGGATTGTTTTTGAACAAATGTTTGCTTCGTTGATATTTTGTATTATGGATTAATTTCGGATTCAAAAATTGATAAATTTTTGAAACGAAAACTAAAAATTGGACACCACCGGTAGCCAATTTCCAATTTTGAAAAAATTATGTAACTTTTTTTCTGTTTCGGTTTCTGTTTTTGTTTATCGTCAACCCTTTGTGAGCATCGTTTTTCGGGTTTTGATTTTTCCCCGGTTAAAAAAAAGTAAGTTTCTGGATAACAGCAACAACAAATTACAAAAAAAAATTTTTACCAACAACAAGAGAAAACCACAACAATAACGAAAATGAAATAAAATAACAAAAAAAAACCGCATACCGAAATACAGATATTTCTTTTCTTTACTGTTGTTGTTGTTGTTGTCTAGTTGAAAAGTTCCGTGTGTTTGTTTGTGTGTTTGCGTGTGTATCTCATTAATAAGCAGATCCTGGCTGGCTGGCTGACTGATGTACCATGAATGAAAAAAGAACCGAAAAAAATATGATTGGCACAATATCGAAGGAGCATCTTCATTTCGCCCGAAAAAAAAAATGAAAATGAAAGAAAATCTGTTTGACAGACAGCAGCAGCACTGATGAACTTTTTTTTTCTTCAACTGAAAAATAATTTCCGCAATCCGAATTCAATCCAACAAATTTTTTTGTTTTGTTGATAATTTCTGTCCATTAATAGAAAAAATGAAATTTCTTCTGATGCTGCTGTTTAATTTGTTTTTCTTCATTCAAAAAATTGAATGCCAAAATAACAATGGAAAATGGCGAAATTATCAAAATATTTATCCATGATCGATGGAAAATCGATTGAAATTTTTTTTTAAATAATTTCGTTTTTCAAAAAAGCCAAAGATTTACTACTGATTAGATACTTTTTTTTCCCGGTTGATCATCATTTGAATTGGATTGTTGCTTGCTTGATATTGGAAAATTATTGATCGATTGTATCCAATTCGATTCAATCATCATCATCGATTGATTGGTTAATCGATCTGTCTGATAAACATATATTGTAATGAGTTATTGTTATTTTCATCATCAACATCATCATCAACAACAGCAAAAATGTTTAATAAAATCGGGAAAGAAATTATCCGTCTTTTCGGGTTTTATTGATTTCGGCTATTTCGACTTATCGCACCTTTCAACTATGTTGGTTTTTTTTCTTCTTTGACGATTGTTAAGTTGGTCAAGTCGAAATAGATGCCGGTTTTGTCATCAAAAAAAAATAATCAATCGATTGATTGGCTATAGATTCGATCGATTTTTCTTTTTTTTTGTATAAATAAACTATAAGATGTGTCCAATCAATTCAAATCATCAATGAAGAAGAATAAGAAGGAGACGGACGACTATTGAAAAAAATCGATTGTTCTGTGAATGATAATAAAGAAGAAAAAAAAACAATCGATTATTTGAAGTATCGATGTTGATTATGATGATGATGAAAAAAATTGATTCGAATGAAAATTGCTCGTTATGATTGTTGTTCGAACAACAACAACAACGACAATAATAACCGGCCCGAACCAAAAACCGGTCAAATATGACAACCATCATAATCAAATCGATCAAAATGAACTGAAGAAGAAAAGGTATTTTTCATTTTTCATTTGTTAATTCAATAATCACTTCCGGATTTATGTCAAAAATTTTGTTTTTTTTTCTATTTTTGAATTTTCGTTATTCATTCATTCAGGTAACTAGATTAGATTTGGTGATTCAATAATCATGATGATCATCATCGTCATTTTTTTTCGCTTGAATACGACATTGGTGCGAATTTTTTTTCTTTTCGATGTTTTTCGACGATGGTCATCATCATCATGATCATCATGCGGATCATCAACATGATGATGATCATCTGGTGTCCATTCAGCTGCCGAAAAAAATGGTGAAATTTTTGGTTGTGAAAAATTGTAAAATTTTTTTTTTTTGGAAATTTTAGAAAAATGATGATCGTGATTCGCATACCATTTTTTTTAAACAGAAAATTTCTTTTCATTCAATGTTTTCTCAAGATAAAAATAAAAAATTATTATCGCGAATCGAGCATCATTTAAGATTTTTTTGGATTCTTTTTTTCTCACTGGGAAAGTTTCAGGGGAAAATGAATTGTTTTATTGGTTGGTTAAGTGGGCGTTTTGCCCTCCTCAACCAATCATTATCATCATCTTGAATCAATAACCGAGAGGGGGGAAACCAAGTTTTTTTTCGAGAAATTTTCCCAGAAAAAAAATTAACAGCATTCATAACCGATTTACCTTGCAGAACAATCATCAAAATCAATGAATATTTCTCATTCACTCAACTTCTTCATCACCTTCTTTTGCTAATCTATCTCTGCAATCAATTTTGAATAATTTTTTTAGTGAAAATTTTAAAATTTTTAAAAAAATTTAACAACAAAATATATCCGGTAAAAGATATTTTCACAACAATGATTATATACATCATCCTAGGTGCCATCATAATATTTATGATGAGAAATGATTCATTTCAAATCATACATTATTACATAATGAAAAATCTGTTTTCCGACATATCCGTGTGATAAACGGTGTGTGAA